GCGCCAGGCCGCGGGCCCGCCTGGGCCTACCAGCTGCTGGGGGAGGGGCTGCCTGCCGGGAACCGGGACCGAGGACCCCCCACCAGCCGTTCCCTGCCCTAGAGAGCCTGTAGAGAAAGGGCCGCCAGGGGGTGGCGGAATGGGCCGCCGGCCTCCTGGTCCAGGGCCTGGAGGCTGGAGAACAACAGCTCAGTGTCCAGTGTGGTGGCCACCGTGGAGGCCCGGCCCAGCCCGGCCCAGCCCAGCCGGTCCTCCTCACCGCCGCTGTGTGTTCGCGGACCTTCCTGTGAGCCAGGGCAGGCAGGTGGAGGAGGTCAAGGTGGGGAGGGCCAACACTGAGGAGCTCCTGGCACAGCCCCTCCGAGTGGAGAGGGGGAACTGAGGCAGGGGTGGGGCTGAGGCTTGCTCAAGGTCACAGTGAGCCCCTGCCACATGCCCCGGAGTGGCCTCTGCTCCCGTGCACGTGTAGTGATGGAGTCTTCCTGCCCATGCATGTCTGTACGTCCATGTACGAAATAAACATCTTCTCATGAGCCGCGCATGTGTGTACCGTCTGTGCATATACATGTGCGTACACACAGTGCACACACCGCATGCACTCATCCCAGAGAGGCCCTCCCGCGGTGACTGTTGTCCCTGCTGGACAGACGAGGAAGCGGACAGAGGTTTTTAGAGGATGGACTCACCCAAGGTCATGCAGCCAGGAGGGGATGGGACTCCGACCACAGAACCTGCCCTCACCCTGCCTTGCAGGGCCCTTCCTAGGCTCTGTGGACATGTGAGGGTGGCAGGGGGGGAGGGTGGGAGGGTTGGGGTGCCAGGGCAGTTGCATGTCTCCCCCAGTGTGTCACATGCCTCCGGGTACAGACAGGCATGTTGCAGGACAGCGAGTGTGCCCTCGCATGTGCTGGACATAGTGGGAGAGGTTGCTGGTGGGCACATGCTCCCTCAGAAATCTGGGTGCCACCTGGTGTGCCTAGTCTGCCCAGCATGGCCCACAGCGCAAGAGAGGCACGAGGGCACACCCCCTGCTTGTGGGCAGTGCCCATGGTGGAGCTGAAACCCTCTCAGGTGGACAGTGTGCATGCCCTGGCCCAGACACTCAGCTCTGGGAACACACACTTAACACGTATGGGTCATCAGAAGTGCCCAGCGTGGCTCTGCCTGGGGCCGCACACGGAAGGGCTGCCTGGGCAGACAGAGGGCGTTGTTCAGAGTGTGTTTGCCCAAGGCGTGTGTATGCCTCTCAGGTAGCCTCTAGGACACATGTGGACTCATGTGGAAGAGGCGCCTGCAGAGTGGAGGCTGACTCGAGGCCTGTATTGCAGACCCCCGCCCCACTATGCACACGGAGCGTCTCTACGTGTGTCTACATGTATGTGCTTTGTACACATTTCTACATACAGGATATGTAAATTCATACAAAGTACTCTTGTATATTGATAGCATATATATGTGTATGGAAAGTACATGTATATAGAACAATATACAGTGCCGTGTGCTCAGAGGACTGCCAGATCGTCTCTGTGTGGGTGCAGCGACTATGTGCAGATTACAGGTTTGCATGTGGGGTATCCATGTATACACCATGTACACGTGCTGCCACAACAGATTCTACCTGTGTACACACCGTGCAGAAAACTTATACACGTTTGTGTCTCGTACATGCCTCTACATGGAATTTCATACAGAGGACATGTATGTGAATTCTGTGCAGCATGCACATTAGCAGGCAGCGTCAGTGCCTGTGCACATGGATCTGTGCACAGGACAGCACCCCACAGAGAGGCCGGCTCTGTGTACGTGGAGTGATGTGCATCCATGTGTGACATGCCACGCTCATGCCGGCGTGTGCTCAGTGCATGGATGTGGGGCTTGTGGGATTGTGGGACGCTGGTCCACAGTATACACACTGTGCTCTGTGCATGTGGCCAGTGTGTATACACGACATGCGTTGGGCCCTGGGTGGACACATGCAGCATGTGTGGCGCAGGCGGGTCATATGTCTGTACCTATCACAGACACATGTGCACACAGCATATCCCTCTGCCTTCATCTGGGAGACCTGAGCGCCCACCTCCATGGCTGGACCTGGAGTTAGGAGGAGGCCCAGGGTCGTGGAGGGGGAGATGCAGATGCCCAGGCCAGCAGCAGTCCCAAGCCCAGTTGCTGGCACCCTGCCTGGCCCTGCTTTCAGGGTTCCTGGGGGTTTCCTGCCCAGCCACCTGTGCTGGGGGGAGTCAGAGTCCATTCAGTGCCCCGGGGAACCCTAATGGGTCAGGAAGCACTTCCTCCCAGGGACTGGCCCAACCCCGTGGTCTCTGTTACCATCAGTGATTTTCCATCATGATGACAGATAATGTCTATTAAGCTTGTAATCAGATGAGTGACGGCTGCCAGGTGTCAGTCCTGGTCACTCCTCACAAGTGGAGCATGGTCCAGCAGCCCCAGCCCTGCCTACTGGGACTGGCCAGTGTGGATGAAGCGGCTGAGCCCCAGGAAGAGCAGGAGAGGTTCTGAGCGGCCTGGCTGGGGGCTGCCCCTGCCCTGCCTCTGGGTGGGCCCCTCATGGGCCCTGCTCAAGGAGGATGAGTCAGTTTTCTTTTGGGGGGAAGGTCCCTCTGGGTGGGGGAAGGAGGGAAGACCAGGCCTGGGCAGGAAGACTGCAAGGCTGATGGGCAGAGCCACAGGGTCTGCTGCAGCTGTTGAGGGGAGGAGGGGAGCAGGTTTGGGGAGCCGGGAGCTATTTTCAGCCCGCCTCTGAGGTGTCTGTAGATCCCACGTGGAGACGCACAGGCAGCTGAGCGCCCAGCAGGCATGGAGGTAGCAGGGAGGAGAGTGGCCATGAGGTTGGTTTGGCCTGCAGGAGCAAAGGACAGGGCCACAGACAGGACGGCTGGGAAGAGGAGGGTGCCACCAGAGCATGTTGTCCTGGCACTCTGGGCCCCAGGGCCACCAACCCCCTCTTCCCAGCTAGGATGTTCAAATCTGCTGTCATGGGGACCAGTTCCCCCTGCAGGGCCACCACTGGGAGTCCTGGGGCTGGAGGGCTCCCTGGAAGTGGGGCAAGCCACCAGAGGAAGAGAGGAAGCTGCGGTAGTGCCACCTACAGGCTTTGGAGAGCAGAGCCCAGTGCCTCCTGGGGGCATGGTGTGGCTGGTTCAAGGGGAGGGACTCTGGCGTCCATCCCACCGGCAGTGAGTGGGCAGTGATGGACGTGGGTGAGGATGTAAGAATGGGTTGTGGGGCAGAGTCCTCAAGACCTCCAGCCTGGAGTGAGGCAGGGAGGCACAAGTTAGGGACCAGAAGCCAGGGTGGGCCGGGAGTACCCTGAGGGCATGGAGTGTAGCCTGCTCTTAGGCCTGTGTATACAGGCCAGGGACCAGGTCTGGTGGGCACTGGCCCTCGGGCTCTGCCAGGCCTCGACAGTCCCCACAGTCAGCAGGTGGACCAGGGCTCATGCCTGGGGCCCTCAGGAAAGAGGGAGGTGCTGGGTGAGGGTACATCCCCTAGCCAGACCCTCCCTAGACGTCATTGCTGGCAGCAGGATCTTGGCCTCCACCTGCCCTGACAGTTCTGCCTGGCAGCCTGGGGCTGGGGGGCGGGTCTGACGACTCTTCCCAACCAGCGCACGGGGATTGCTTCAAAGAACTCCCTGAGGTGCCCCGTGGGAGTCACACCACCTGCCTCGGGGACCCCCAGCCTGCCCAGCGTGGACCCGGGGAAGCCAGGCCAGGGTTGGCGGGAGAGGTGCCAGCCCGCCCTGCCGCCCGCAGGCACCACATCCACTACGTGATCCCATACGACGGGGACCAGTCGGTGGTGGACGCCTCAGAGAACTACTTTGTGACGGACAATGTGACCAAGCAGGAGATCGACCTCATGCTGGGGCTGCTGCTGGGCTTCTGCATCAGCTGGTTCCTGGTGTGGATGGACGGCGTGCTGCACTGTGCCGTGCGTGCCTGGAGGGCCGGCCGGCGCTACGGTGAGTGCCTCCCACCCGCCGCTGGGAAGCCCCGGGCCAGCCCGGCCGCCTGACCGCCCTGTCCCCTGCAGATGGCTCGTGGGCCTGGCTGCCCAAGCTGTGCAGCCTGCGGGACCTGGGCCGGAGGCCACACAGGCCCTTCGAGGAGCCGGCGGGGAACATGGTGCACGTGAAGCAGAAACTCTACCACAACGGGCACCCGAGCCCACGGCACCTGTGAGCCGCGCCCAGGACTCAGGGCTGCTGTGCAGACCAGACCGACCCCGCGGAGGCCCAGCTGGCCGGGCGGGACTGCGGCCTCAGGCCCAGGGTGTCTGGGCCTTTGGCTGGCCGGGTTGTGGCTGCAGGGCAGGTCCAGCGGAAGGTGCTGTCTCTTCTTTTTATAAAGGGGGTGGGGTGGGGGCTGGGGTGGGGCTGGCCACCGGGCCTCAGGGCAGGACACAAGGGCAGGCTCTGTCCTAGAGGTGCTGGGGGCCAAGGGGGGTGGGTCCTCAGTGGGGACAGGCAGGGACAGGTCTGGCCAGGGTCAGGACTGGACTCAGGCCACATCTGATTGAAAGCTGCTGTTTCCTGTGCACTGTGTTGTCTGTCCATCCGTCCTTCCGTTTGGTCTGGAGTGGGGGGAGGCGCCGGGGCTACGCCGTCAGCACACGGGAGCATGTGCATGGGGCGTGTGCGACTGAGGGTGGGAGAGGAGGGACAGGCCCTCGGCAGCTATCAATAAGGGTGGGGCCTGGGCGCCCCAGCACCTCACTGTGAAGCCCACCCTGCCTGGCCAGTAAACTCTCCAGAAAGCTCCGGCCTCTGCCTTTTCCTCACCTGAAACCCCGAGGGCTGCAGAGGGGACCCCACAGCCCGCCCCTCATATCAACCATGAGACACACAGCAAGGGTCAGTCAGTTTTATTAGATTTTGGATAGAAGGGCCCCCCACCTGCTGGAGGGGGCAGCAGTTTGGAGCACCAGACGTCATGGACCAGTGGCTATCTGGCTCTGGATCCACCCCACTAGGTCAGGGCTGGGCTAATTCTTGGCACAAACGTGTGCAGGGCACATCCAGGCCAAGGCTGAGCCAGTGACCTCACTGCCCCTCTGGTCCCCACAGGCCGCGGTCCTGCTGGCCAGGCTGTAGCCACCAGCCTTGGGTACACAGCTCGCCTTGGAGGCCCGACCCTCCCCCAGCTAGCACCCCTGGCAGAAGGGCAGACTTGGGGTCAAGGCTGAAGGGGAGCTGGTGGGAGGGCACTGCAGGCCGCGTGGCTGCACTTCCCAGAGGGTGGGCCAGGCGTTCCAGCCTAGCTGGCCTGCTGTGGACTCAGGTGTGGGGACTCGCCAGCCTGGGGCCTGGGGCCCTCCAGAGTCAGCCACTGCATCTTCTGCTGGTGCTGCTGGATGGCATCCTGGACCCGGGCGTCCATCATGGCCTCCGTGAGCACCCCATCCTCAGAGGCATACGCCATGGCCTGCAGGAAAGAGGCCAGCAGCCTGCACAGGGGCAACTCACTGTGCACAGGGCCCAGTGGCCTCCCAGGGGCCCAGTGTGGTCTGACCCACGTCTACAGGGGCTCTGCACATCCCAGCATGGCCTCTGGAGAGCCCAAGTCGAGACGCACACCCCGCTGACCCACAAGCCCCGCCCAGGCAGAACAAATGCAAGACCCGCAGGTGACTCTGGGCACACGGGGGAACCCTGAGTGGTCACCTCTGGACAGGCTGCCACTCCTGCACTCCCTATCCTAAGGACACCACGGGGGTCCAGCCAGCAGGGCTCAAGGGCGTCGCCATAGTCACTGCACTTGGGTGGCTGAGGCTGCAACTCGCCGGCAACAATAGCTCTAGAAGCACCAAAAGGGTTGGTGGGCCCCAGGGTGCGGCGGCTGGGGTGAGGGGTCCGGCCAGGGTGCAGGGACCTCACAGCACTGTCCTCAGAAGGGAAGGGGAGCTGGGGTGCCTGGAGGAAACTCAGGGCAGTCCCAAGCAGGGGATCCTGCCTCCAGGCCACCTGAGTGGGACCCTCACCACAGCCTGGGCCCTCCTCCCAGACACTGGATTCCCCCCGCCCAGGGGCAGGTGTGCAGGGCAGCAGCCTCCTTGACAACCTTGCCTGGCTGGCGCTTGTGGGGTCGTGACTACATGGTGCCACGAGGGCCAGAGTCCAGGGCCCCTGCCTCACCTCCACCTGCTGCGGGAGCAGACCCCACCTTGAAGCCAGCCCACCAAGTTGGGGAGGGAGCAGAAGGTAAGGTGGAAGCTGCACATGAGACTGGCAGGTGGACAGGGCACAGCCCAGCCCTGCTCAGCGTGGAGCCTGCTGCGTGGCAGGACGCAGCGACCATGCTTCACCCAAGGCAGGGACCTGCTGCATGGTAGGACAGAGGGCAGCACCAGTCACGCTGCTGTCCTGACTTCCTTCGAGTCTATACTAGCCCAAGAGACCCGTTCACCAGGGTACAGAAGCGCATGCCTGCAGCGAGCACTCAGGAGGCCGAGTCAGGAGGACGCCTTGAGGCCAGGAGTTCAAGGCAGCCTGAACAACACAGTGAGACGTCTCAGAGACGAACAAACAAGCCAGGTGCAGTGGCCACACCTAGAATCCCAGTCACTGGGGAGGCTGAGGCAGGAGGATCACATGTCACCACACAACAGCAAGCCCCTGTCTCTAAATTACAAAGTTTTGAAAAGGGCTGGGGAAGCAGCCGGGTGGTTAAGTGCCCCGGGGTTTGATCCCTAGTAGGGAGGAGGGGAAAAGGAAGGAACAATGAAATGAAATGGAGAACTGCGGCCAGGTGGGATGCCGACAGAAGGGTCACTGCTGACTCCTTCCTCAAGACCAGTGCCACCCTGACACCGTGGCCAAAGACACCCAGGGGTGCAGCAGGCCAGCAGCAGCGGACCAGCAGGCATGGCCCCAGGGATGCAAGGGTGTTCCTGTGGGAACACTGTCACGCACACAGCAGAAGCCAACGCAGGGCCAACACGTGGCACTTGGCCAGCTCCCTCCTTGCGGTCCTGAGGTGGCCGGGATGCTCCACCACTGAGCCACATCCTAACACTTTTTAACTTGTACTTTGAAGCAGGATGCCATCAAGTGGCCTAGGCTGGCCTGGAACCTGCCATCCTCCTGCCTCAGCCTCCCTTTCCTAATAAAAACACCCCACAGAGAGGTACAGAAAGAGACTTCTCAACACAGTGGGAGCACAGGTCAGGAGCCACTGAGCCCCTCCCCAGCACAGCACTGGAGCCCTCCCTGGCAACTGGGCAAGACGAGTGGGCTGAGCCAGAAAGGAAGGAGCCAGCTGCTTCTGCTCCCAGATGCTGTGACCCTATGGGTGGCAGGGCTTGGGGGCCACTGAGACCACACAGCCCCAGCTCCTGAGAGGGCTCCCGCCCAGCACCATACTACACACATGCACTCGCCCGCAAATCTCTCCTAAAAACCAACCCATCAGAACTGATCAGGACACAAGGTCAACACACGAGTAGCTGCAGTTCTGCACCTTGACAGAAATTCCAAAAGGAAGTAATTCCATTTATACAAATATAAAAAGGAATAAAATGTTTAGGAATTAATCAAGGAGATGAAAACCTTTACGTGAAACCCGCACAATACCTCCGAATGGGACTGAAGAACACAGGAGGTGGTGCAAACAGCCTGGTGCGGAGCTCAGGCTGAGGCCAGAGGAATCGGGTTTGAGGCTAGCCTGGGCCTCTTAGCAAGACCCTGTCTCAAAATAAAAAATAAAGGGGGCTGGGTTTGTGGCTCAGCGGCAGAGTGCTCGCCTAACACGTGCGAGGCCGTGGGTCCAACCCTCAGCACACATAAAAACAAATAAATATACTGTTTCTAACTAAAAAGTAAACATTTCTAGACCTAGAGCTGCTCTATCACTGAGCTGCTCAAGTACCTTTCTTTTGAGACAGGGTCTGGCTGAGTTGCCCTGGCTGGCTTTGAACCCAAAATCCTCTTCCTGACTATGAAGACCCCTGAGAGGAAAGGGCGGTCTTCTCAGAACGGAAGCTGGAAAACGGTCTCCGCAGCCAGCGACACGAGGCTGCACCTCCGACTCACGCCCTCACAAAGCCAGAGCTGGGGTACAGCTGTGCCAGAGCGCTTGGCCAGTGTGCACAGAGCCCTGCATTCACGCCAGTTATGCACCAAAGAAAACGACCAGAACTATAAACCCCAGGGCAGGAGTGGCCACGTGGCACCAGAAGACTGCTAGCTCAAAGCCAGCCTCAGAAATACAGAGACCCTGTCTCAAAACAGAAGAGTGAGGGGCTGGGGACGCAGTTCAGTGTTAACAGCACCTCTGGTGCAGCCCCCAGGACCACCCCCTAAAAAGGAAGAACAGTGGCGGGGGAGTCCGACAGACCGGACATGGCATCCTCCTGGACGAGGTCTGCACAGCACTCACCAGAGCACGGATGAAGGTCTGCCCTGAACAGCTGGGGAGGGGCTGAGACCCAGAGTACACCCACAGCCAAGACTGAACACCGCCACCGATCTCAAGTGGGCAGGGGACCTGAAGAGACAGGTCTTCAAACAGGCACAGGTGGCGACTAAGCACCAAAAGGGATGCTGGTGACCAGGGAAGAGCAACTGAAGCAGATGTGTGCTGCTCCCTCGCCCACCCAGAGAGGAAGCCCAAGCCACAGCCATGCCTACAATCCCATCAACTGGATGGAGGTGCAAGGTTAGAGGCTAATCTGAGCAGCTTAGAGAATCCCTCAGCAAGTCGGCAAAACCACCTCAAAATAAAAAAGAGAAGGAATAGGAGTATGGCTGAGGGACAGAGCACCCTCGTCAAGCCCTGGATGAATGAACACCAGGGCCACCAGCACACGGCAGAGCTGCCCTGGCAACTGTGGGCACACAGGCCCCGAGGAGACAGGACACCAGCACTGGGAAGACCCACACGGCCCAGCACTGAGACCTGGCCCAGCCCATGGGTGCAGAGACGTGGCCATGGGAGGCCGACTGTCTGGAAACCAGCATGCTGGACTCTGAAGGGCTCCCGCGAACCCCGAGGCAACCACAGAAGTCCTGGTTGTCACAGCTCACACCCCGAGGCCCACAGGGCAACCCTGACAGGCAGTGGCCGCGCCTGGTACCCAAGTGACTTGGGAGGCAGAGGCAGAAGGATGCCAAGTTCCAGGCCAGCCTCAGTAACTTAGCAAGACCTGTCTCAAGGTACAAAGGGTCGGGGGGAGAACCCCAAATGCTGATGAGCTCGGGGAGAGACGAGGCCCCAGAGAAGGTAGTCCGTGGGCGCTGCCCATGGCCCGGCCTAGCCCAGCAGCTCCACTCTGGGGTAGAGAACGGAAAGCCGGCTCCTGAGTACCCTCCGCCAGCTGGGAGAAGATGAGGAAAAGAGAGGGGGGCGGCCTACCAGCTGGGGATGAGGGGGAGTGAGAGGTCAGAGGGCACAGGGCTTCCATCTGGGAGGACAGGAAGTTCCAGCAATGCACAGCAGTGATGGCCCCAGCAGATGCCAGCCTGCGCCCGTCAAGATGGTGCCGGGTGGTGAACCTGAGGGTGGGTGCAGAGGCAGGACAGGACCCACTTCACACACACCAAGCTGAGCTTTGGCGCCCCAGGGCTGGGTCTGTGGACAGCCGTCCGGTGTGGTCAGCTGCTCCTGCAACCCGGGCCACAGCAGCATGCCAGGTCACCCCCTGCCAGATGACCCTCCCCAGGCCACAATGACCACGATCACACAGGCCTCGGGGCCTGCATTTGGAGCCTGGGCCTCAGAGGAGTCGTGGAAGTGAATGAGGCTGCGAGCTTGCCCCCAAGTCAGTGCCACCAGAAGACATCCCAAGAGCCGCTCACCACCGCCCCCAAGGACACACCAGGATGTGGCCCTTGCAGGCCTCAGGCGCTGCTCTGGGGGACAGACCACAGCCTCAGAACTAGGAACACAATGTGGTGCCATGGTGCCACCTGCACCCTGCCGCAGACTCTGGTCTCTGGTTTGTCGACCACAATACAGCCCACAGCACAGCCCTCAGCTGGCTAGACCCGGAGTGAGAGCAGCTGAGTGTCCTGATGGAAACAGATCTCTCTCTGGCTAACCTCCTGCACAGAGGTGACCAGGTGGGCATGGCACCCACCACCGCCTTCTCAGCGGCCACCAGAGGCTGTGGTCTCCAGGTGCTTCCAGCACTGCAGGAGCTGAGCTGGGGTTAACAGGGGACACTCTGCCCTGTGAGCCCTGAGCCACACATAGGCCAACACACCTGCCCCCACTCTGCAGCTGACATGTCCTAAAAAGCAGAACCTCAAGAGGGCTCATGCAGAGCAGGTGGCTGTGAGGTTCCACCTAAAGTAGGTGCTCAGAATCTGTCCAGCTCCCCAGCTGGCGGGCTAGGTGAGCAGCACCTCGGCCCCCACCCGCCTCAGAGCCTCCCGTACGTCTGCCCGGGCACCTGGCCTTCCCTGGGATGATGTGTTCTGTGTTCACAAGCCTTTCCCATGCAGCCCAGACAGCATGAGCCCATGGGGGAGCAGCCCCTGGTGAGGGGGAGTAGAGCAGGGGCCACACCCTCCATGGGCCTCAGAGCCCAAGAGCTCCACTCACCTGCCAGGCTACGGCCAGCTGGGCGATCTCACGGCCCGACATACCCTCCGTCAGCTGGGCGACCTCTGAGCACTTCCTGCTGTAGTCAAACTGGGCCAGTTTCAGACGCCTGTAGGAAGAGATCTCAGGTGGTGCCCAGCCAGCCAGGGCTGCACACGGCACAGAGCTGGGGAGATGGGCATCAAGGCCGCCCACCTCATACCAGAATCATGGGCTGTCCTGGGCACCCCTTGGCCGCGCCTCTGAACATAAGCCAGGATCTGCCAACACCCGGATCCTCCTGGCTAACCTGCTATGGGGCCAGGCTAGGGCGCTGTAACCCTGCACCCCCACTTTCCACCCACTCCAGGCCCAGCCCACATCTGCACACCCAACAGCCAAGCAGCAGGTGCCACTCCAAACTCTTAGCCAGTGGAGTGCAGGCAGGGTCCTGGAAGAGCAGCGAACAGCAAGGGTAGGCTGCACCTTCCATGTTTCCAGCAATGTCACCTTGGCCAAAGGTAGAGTGGCCATTGTGCAAGAGGTAGAGAAATGAGGTCGTGCTGCCTGGGCCAGGAGGAGGTGGGGCCTGGCCAGCAGCAGTCCAGAAGCCAGCCCACCAGGCAGCAGAAGGTGGGGGGGCGGGCAGGAAGGATTCAGGTCAGGACATGGAGCCAGGCGCTGCCAGCCTAGGCCCCTGGAGAGGCTGAAGGCAGAGCAGCCTCAGCTGACTGGGATCATCCTGGATGCAACAGAAAGGGGAGCAGGGAGAGCCAGGGCCTTGCCACCAGGCAGGCTTTCCCAGTGGCTTCGCCCTGCACCCAGCACCTAACAGTCATGGGGAGCCACACCCCACCCACGAGGCTCAGGGCCCCTCTGAGCAGCTCTTGGGAGCAGCACGGTGTACAGGCAGCAGGCCACTTGGTCAGCCCTGGACTGCCATGACCACCCCTCTCCTCAACAGGCACAAGGGCTTTGGAGTGAGGCTCAGGGAACAGAGTTTAGCCTCACCCCAGGGCCCAACATTTTCTCTAAAGCTCCCAAGTGACCCGGGTGCTTCAAATAATGGGAAGGTAAGAACGCAAAGTGGACACTAGATACATCGGCTGCTGCCCTCAAGTAAAGAGTGGCTGGAGAAAAGGGTCAATGACCCCACAACAGAGGTGCTTACTCCAGGGCCCCGGGGAACCATCCGAGGATGCCTGGTCCGAACAGGACCCCACCAATGGCCACAAGACCCAGGGAAATGGAAATGCCACCAGGAGGTGGCACCTGCTGGACATGCCCACAGGGAGGAGGGGTGGGGTGGCTGCTGACAGCAGATGGCAAGAGGGTGGCAAGCGGGCCTGGACACTTACTGCTTTCCTTCTGTGGCTGGCTTAAGAACAAACTTGTCAAAATACATCCTCACCAGGCGCTCCCGCTCCTCGAGCCGCGGCAGGTGGAAGCAGACCATCTCATCAATGCGGTCACTGACAGCCCAGTCGAAGTCCTCAGGCTGGTTGCTGGCCAGGACCAGCATGAACCTGCAGGCAGCAGGCACCCAGGCTGAAACCGGCAGGCAGAGGGCTTCTCACTCCTCAGGGAAACCTCCAGAAGAACCACTTGGCACCCGGGGGCCGAGCCCAGGGACCCATGCGTGGGAGGCCAGGACTGCACTGCTGAGTTGCACCTACCCTGGCTAGCACTTCAGCCCAGGAAACCCTGGGAGCCCCAGCAAGGCCCCCTGCACAGTGCAGGCCCCAGCTGCCGTGTCCACGTTCCTGTTCTCGCCCCAGTGGGCTTCTCCAGTACAGATCCCAGACCAACAGGCAGCACCCGCAGGTGACACTTGCTCCCTCTTGCCGAGAAGCCTCACTGTGCTGGGCAAACAAGGCCATGGTGTCCAGCAGATGCCTGGCCAGGCTGGGGACGGGGATCTTGACTGGGCCTGGCAGGAACCCCAACTTGCCTCAGAGCATCCGGGCTCCAACAGCAGCCCCAGCTAGCAGGCGTCTGAGAATGCTTTGTGACCAGTGAGCAAGAACCAGGACGAGGGGACTTGGAAAGGAGTGTGTGGGAACACAGCACCCAGGCTGACCTACCTCTGGAACAGCCCAAGAAGCTCCTCCAAGTGAGACCTCTCTTGGAGGCCTGGAGGCTACCCTGGGACCTGAATCCCTCTGGAGGCCAAGTCCTGTGCTCCATCCAGGATACGTGGGAACTGTTCCTGCCCTCGCTCCCACCCAAAGTGCCCACCTATGCCCCTGGTGAGCCTCCTGCAATCCTGAGGGACGCCTGCCACAACGGGGGTCCCAGCTTTGCCTCCCTCAGAGTCAAGTGGAAGATTGGAAGCCAAAGGGTGGGAGAGGTCATGTGAGTTAGTGGCCTTGCCTGACAGAACCTGGCATGGTTTCTCAGTGACACTCGCTGCCCTTCCCAGACAAGGGTGTCAAGAACAGCCCTGACAGCTGCCTGTCCACCAAGTGCTGGACTCCGGACCCTAGCCATTAGCAGTGGGCATGCCTGGGCAGTGCCCCCACTTCCCTTGTGAGGCCAAGGGTGACAATGCTGCAGGTACTCTGCCCAGGGCAAGGGGAGGTCAGGGGCTCACTTGCTGCTATGCTGGCCAGTCCTGTGCAAGAAGGCGTTGAGGGCAGCCCTGAGGTCTTCACTGATCTTCTCCTGCAGAGGGAAGGCTTTGGCGTTGGTCATAAGCCTCAGAAGTGGGGAGGGAGGGTTCTGCAGGCCACTCCCAAAGGGCAAGTCTGAGCTTCAACCCCATCTGAAAGCTGAAACTGCACTTTAAGCCCTCAAAAATGTTAAGACGGCTGGGCACTCAGTGGTGGCACATGTGCTTGGCACAGCCAGGGTCCTGATTGACCACATCACCACAAAATTGCTCTTGGCTCCAGCTGCAAATGCCCAGAGTGCCCAGCATCCTCACATGGCCAGGGACGCACCCAGGGGACTCACTGTGGCTCTCTTCCTAAGAAAGGCGTCTGCTTCATCCACAAAGAGCAGGAGGCTGTGAACAAGAGCGTGGCACACGAGTGGATGCTTGAACCCACAGACAGCCCCAGGGCCACAGGCTCTACCCGCCAGGACCTCTAACACGCATCCAGTAGAGCCATGCAGCAAGGCCAGGGGATACCTGTGCAGGCTGCCTGCAGCTTCCAGAGGAGCGGGTGCAGGGCCTGGTGCAGGGCCGGCCCGAGCAGCCAGGGAAGGTGCAAGCCCAGGGGACAGGAGAGGGGGCACGCCTGGGGCGACTAGTAGGGCTGACCACGCCACTGCCAGACTATCCTGCTGAGGGGTCATGAGGGCCTCAGATGGCTTTCAGGAGGTTCACGTAGGAACATCCACCTGCACGCATGCACACCACCTGTGCACACACTCAATGGAGCACCTGTGTGGGGCAGACCCTCCCCACCTGAGCTCACCCCTCACTTCTCTAGTCTCTAATCTCTAACCAGTAGCCCCTTCGAACTGGAGGGGAAAGACCAACAGCCCATCCTCAGCATGCTGACGGACCCTCCGCTCTAGACAAGACCCTCTGGCAAGCCCCCTCTGCTCTCAAAATTCTTTCAGCAAGGCCCCTCTGCTCTCAAAAACCTTCTGGCAAGCCCTCTCTGCTCCAAGAGGGACCCTCTGACAAGTCCCCACTGCTCAAAGGCTAGAGGCTGCTTGTGGCCTGCACAGCATGGAGGACTGAACACAAGGAGACAGTGGGTACCAGCAACCAGAAAGAGTTGCTTCCCAGCTGTGGAGGTGGAGTGAACACGGCCGCTTTACGGAACAGCATCCCTGGGGTGGCCAATGGCCTGGGGACCAGGGACCTGCGCAAGGGGTACACTCTCACCCTCGCCGGCTGGTGTTGGCCCAGTCGAAGACCTTGTGCATGGCGGTGACACCCTCCCGCCCCATGGGGGCCACGTCCCCGCCTGTCATGATGGCGTAGTCCATGCCTGAGTGCAGCGCGAGTTTCTGGGCAGAAGGGGTGCAGGAAGGAGAGAGAGCAGATGTTCTACACCCTCTGCAAAGCCCACAGCCCACCAGCCACTCTAGCCCCCACAAGAAGCACTGGTGCTGAGCATCACAGTGGTGCCGAGAGGTGGGGGTCACCGATGGGCACCTAGCCGCAGCAAGAACGGGCCTCCTCACATTGACGGTGCCCCTGCAGTGGGTGCTCTTACCTTGGCAAACAGTGTCTTGCCAGTGCCTGGCGGCCCGTACATCAGGATGTTCCTGTACAGGCTTTTGTTCCTCTTGGTGTTCCTTGTTGCTATGGCAATGTCCCGCACCCGTGCCTCCAGGCTGGGCTGTCAGGGGAAGTGTGTTTGGAGACATCCTTGGGGGCGGGCATGTGGACACTCTGCTGCAGTCTACTCCCGGGGGCTAGTTTGGACTAGCTGAATACAGGCTGGCTCTAGCTAACAAAGTGAATTTCAGAAGCCAAAGGCCATCAACAGGAGACCCATGGGCCCAGCTCTACTGACTTCCACAGGACCTCATAGCCCACCCAGACCCACCCCACCCATGGTGACTGACTTACACTGAGAATGACACCCTCCAGTGCATCCTGGGGCTTGCTGAGGAGCCGCCTGCTAACCTGGGGGAGCAGAGATGCAGACATGCAAGGACCTCATTCTCGGAGCTGGGAAGCCAGACCCTGGGACACATGGTATCTGCTGGGGGGCTTGGGGTGATCTGTGGATCCTTCACTGAAACTTATTTTCTTACCCACCAGCCCAGAATGAATGGAGGAGATCTGGGCGCAACCCATTTGGACTACGGGCCCAGGGTTCGTACAGAGCCAGCGGTGCCCTAGGGTGCTGGTCACCCAGCCTACAGCACCACACTGACACAAGAGGGCCTGAAGGCGAGTTCAGACTGGAGAACCCTCCGCAGGAGGAAGCAGATGCTGCTGGGGCACAAGGGAGGGAAAGATGATGGTGTGTGATGTAGGCAGCACTTGCCAGTCATGGGAAGGGGCCTGGCAAGGACAGAGAGCTCTAGGGGGCAGGTGCCCACTGCAGCCATACCTGCACAGGGTGCCTCAGAGCATCCAGCACCGATATGCGGGAGGTTTCCCTCACCAGGGACGGCTTCCCCAGCCGCGCCTCCACATAGCGGCCAGCAACGGCAGTTGCATTCTTCGCTGAATAGACCCCGACAGCCAGCAGTGTCAGCCCAGCCACCTGGAACAGAGAAGCAGGCAGCAGGCCCGTCAGCAGCCTCACCTCCTGGGAGTCCCTAACAGGCCTGGCCCAGTCAGATCAGACGCTCTCCACCCCAACCTTTCTCAGAGCTGTGTTCTCTGTGACCTGCACTGCAACTCCTCTGACCCTGAGGCTGCAGGCTGAGGACAGCCTTTTAGCGCCAGGTGGCTATCACGGCCACAGCCTCCACTGCTTTTCTGCCCAATGAAAATGTTAAAAGTTCACTCCTAGAAAACAAGACTAACCCCAAATGACTAACCCGTTCAAAAACTAATCCATATCATGCACACGCACACATACACACACCAGTCAACAACCAGCTTACTGGGAGCTCCCTTACTTCACAACATGGTAAGAAGGTACCTCCTAACCGGGGCTCAGGCAGAGCTGGCCCAGCAGACAAGAGGCCCTGGGTTCACCCCAACGCTGCAAATGCCAAAACACAAGTCACAGAAGAAAAGAAGGGCTTCTTTCCTCAACAGACACACTGCACCTGTGGAGTCCCAGCTGAGTGGGCAAGGCTGGCCTCAGCCAGGCCCTATGGCTGTGGTCCCACAGCCATGCCAGCCAGACCGCACCCCGAGTGCTTCCCTGGGTGATCAACCCCTGCTACACTGAAAAGCCCTCAGAGACGGTGTGAGGAAGCAGCAGACATCCACCGCTCAGCACCAGAGTCCCTGCCCAGTGGAAGTAGGTAGGCCCATTCTACAAAAGCTGCCAGGAAGAGCCAGGTATGGTGGAACCTATCAGCAACTCAGGAGGCTAAGACAGGAGGCTCACACGACCAAGGCCAGCCTGGGCAACTTGGCAAAGGTCCTCTCAAAACAAAATATAAAAACACGCTAGGGATGTGACTTAGTAGTAAAGTGCCTGGGGTTCAATCCCAGTATTAAAAAAAAAAAAAAAAAAGTGGTGGCAGAAAGAAAGTTCTAGTCACATCCTTTCAGGATGCTGCAAAGCAAGCAAGCCAGCTCCAGTCCTCCAGTCTTCCAAAGCCTCAAACAAGGCACTGCCATGGCTGGATGCTTGTGCCCAGGAGCACATGCTGGGGGCCTGGTCCTGTCCATGGAGGGGAAGGGGCAGAACCTTTAAGAGGTGAGAGCTAACCTAGCAGTGGTGGCCACACTTACAATCCCAGTGACTGGAGAGGCTGAGCCAAGAGGATCGTAAGTTCAAGGCCAGCCTCAGCAACATAGCAAGGCCCTAAGCAACCTAACAAGACTGTCTCAAAATTTAAAAAGGGATTGAGAAGGGGCCAGGGTTGTGGCTCAGTGGCAGAGCACTTGCCTAGCATGAGTGATGCATTGGGTTCAATCCTTAGCACCACATAAAAATAACAACAAGGGCTGGGGATGTGGCTCAAGTGGTAGCACGCTTGTCTGGCATGCGTGCGGCCCGGGTTCGATCCTCAGCACCACATACAAACAAAGATGTTGTTTCCGCCAATAACTAAAAAAAATAAATATTAAAAAATTCTCTCTCTCTCTCACACTCTCTCTTTCAAAAAAAATTTTAAAAAATAACGTTAAAAAAAAAAAAGGATTGAGGATACAGCTCAGTGGTCTAAAATACTCCTGGGTTCAATCCCCAGAACCAAAAAAAGAGGCAGGGCCTAGGAGAGAGTCATGAGGTCGGAGACTCAGCATCAGGAATGGATCAGTGTCTCTTGGACAGACTATCAGTTCTCTCCAGAGCAGGAGATCATAAAGCAAGGTCACCCCCTATGCCCAACCCTTCTGCGTGTGACTGGTTGGTTCCCTTTCCACTTCTCTGCTACACTGTGTCCCAGCCAGTAGGCCCTGGCCAGGAGGCTAGTAGTATGTCATTTGGACCCTCCAGCACCAGAATCTAAAGCCAATAAACCTCTTTATAAGTTACACAGCTTTGGGTATTTTGCTAGAGGGGGGGAAAGAAAAGAAGACCAAATCGCTTAAAATCGATCCAAAAAGGCTCCCTCTCATCTAGCTGCACCTCCTCTCCCTGGCTGAGGAGGAACAGGAGCAGCGGCAGCAGCCAGCAGTGCAAGCAGAGGCAGCCCCGGCCTTGCTCCAGCTCCATCTCACCCCCAAGCACCAGCTGCTCCACCCTGTCAGCAGGAACAGAGGTGCAGCACACCAGAGGGTCCCCAGAACACCCAGAGCTGCCTGCCAGGCACACCTCTGAGAATGCATGATGCATACCGTGGCTGTCACTTTGTCCCAGTCTGTCACAAAGGCACGGAATCCTTCACCAAACAAGGTGCCAGCCGTCCTGTTGGGGGAGAACAGCCACATGATAGGAAGGGATGTGGGACCTGGACACAGGGCTGGAGGAGGTCAAGGGCGACACCCCCCTACAGCTTCCTATACTCTCAGAGGCAAGCCCTGAAACACAGAGGCAGAGAAGCCCCACCAACATGATGACCCCAGCCAGTGACCTCAGAGGGGCATCCCACGGCCAGCACCACACAGCCAGGGCTCCTGCTGAATGCTCACCTGATGGACTCCAGAATGGTCTGGCGGTGCTCAGCGGCCTTCAAACGGATCTGCTCCCGGGTGATGTCCGCATTCTCCCGCTCGGCCCTGGCCCGCGCTCGGGCCTCGGCCTCCACGCGCAGCATCTCATTTTTGTGCCGCAGCTCCATCTCCCGCTCCACGGTGGCTGCCCCAGAAAAGGCAGGACAGCAGGGTTCAGCCTGGCAGAGCCAGCCTCTGCCCACAAGGCCAACACATAGACCTCAGCAAAAGTGGTCCAGGAACAGTATAAAGTTCAGAGAAAAGACCCGCCTGGGGTCCAGCCCCAGCGAGCAAGGGAACCCCGTGACCAGGCCACCCTTCTAAGGGCCGTGCATACTTCAGGAAACAAGATGAAGCACACAGGATCACTGGGCAAGCCAAATGACGCTGAGACCAGCTGTCGTATGGCCAGACCCATGGGACACAGCCAAGTGCCCTTCTGTGCAGCGTCTGGGGGAAATGCCCATAGCCACGACAAAGCGAAAGCCACATGGTGGCTTCAGGTCCCCCTGGCCCAGAGAGACAGGAAATAGTGGTCCTTTCTTCTGGACACACGTTCGTGCAACGCTGACACCATGGCCCACTCATAAATGCAGCTTCCACAGGGTGGTAAACACGGATTCCCACCCAGGCACAGTGTCGGCACCCTTTGGAGAGGCACACGGCCAGGCTGCAGAGGGGCCTCTACTGAGAGCAGCCCCACCACGAGAACAAGAATCTGGAATGCCTGATGCACTGCAGAGCCCAGGCTTGGGATGCTGGCCTAAACTGGGACTCTTGGCTCGCTGTTGAGATGCTTCTGAGGGACTGAGGGACCCAGAGAGCCACACCCCTCAGTGAACCCCTGCTTCCTGGAGCCTCTTCCATCCCAGCGTGACCCTTACCTCGCCGCATGGCTTCCTGCTTCTGCACAGATTCCTCTTGCTTCCGTAAGTTCTCCTCATTGAGAAGTTGCTGAGAAGAAGCCACAGAGAAGGGAGAAGCTTTCAAAACCAGAAAGCAGTAACACCAAACCTACAGGCTACAGCTGCTCCGAGCCAGAGAAACTGGGTGTTCACCAGAAGGGCTCACAGCCTGACACAGGCCTCCTGGGGCAGCAACGGCTGCCAGGACTCAGAAACTGACCACCAATAACAGGGTGCCAGTACCCACAGAGGGAGAGTGGCACCCAGGTTTTGGTCTGCCCGACTCTGCTCAGTCCCTCACTGTCCTCCTAGTTAGCCAGAGCCCCTGGGTTAGGCCTCCTGGGCAAGAGCCTCAAAGCCCCTGGAAAGCCCACCTCTGTACCCACACCTGTGCCTGTGTGCATCTGAACAAAGGTCCCCAGGACTAACCATGTGCTCTCCCATCCATGGACTAGCCTGCCTAGCAGCCCATGAAGCTGCTGACTGCCAGGACGGCAGGCCCCTCAGGGAGATGTGCCCTGCTCACCTGCTGCTTCAGCTGGTCCTCATAGCGCTGCCGGGCCAGCTTATCCTGGTACTGGGCCCTCTAGAGAGGAAGGGAACGGTGAGGACACACCTTAGCTGGATAAACCATGTCGACAGCCTCACCAGGGGTGGGGCTTCAGGTAAGCTGCCCACCTCCCACAGACAATCAGATGTGCTGGGGGTGGGGAGCTCAGTGTGGAGGGATCTACAGGCTTTGGGTGTTTGCACAAGGGTATTCCAAGGTGTTACAAGGGTAACAGCTGACACCCAGTAAATCCTTGGTTGGCTAGTGAAAGAGAGCTCCAAAGCTGCACCCTACTCCCCCTCCTGGTCACCCCAGGCCTCCTGGTATGAATGACTGCTTGTGCCCTTACGGCCTGGTGCTGCCGGGTCTCTTCACTCAGGGTCTTCCTCCTTTCCTCAGCCTGCACACGGATCTGCTCACTCTTCAGCTGCTCCACAGCAGCCTCATACTCCTGTAGAACAGGGCCACTCAGGATACCTGGCCAGAGGCTGAAGGCTCCCTGCAACCCTCTTCCTCAAGCTGCAGGGCTCTGGGGCAGTGGCTTCAGTGGCACACCCAGCTGGAGTGTGCACTTCTGGAAAACGCAGCCTGGACCAATACCCCCACCTGAGCTCAGGCCTGGAAGGAACCCAGACCCAGCAGAGAAGCACCAGAAAACATCTGGAAAGGCCTCCAGGGAGCAAGATCAAACCAGACACAAATGATCGGTCCCACAGGGACACATCACCCTCCCCCAGGCTTATACCATGACTACTCCAAGAAAGCCAGGGGCTGAAAGCAGAGCCTTCTCCAGCTTACATGCATGAAAGGACGTTGAGTCCCACCAAGTGCACAGAATGAAGCTAAGAATTCCAAGAAAGACCCCCTGCCCTCAGGTAGACCAGTCGACCAGATGCCCCTCGCCTTATACGCTCTTTCAGGGGACTCTGCTGTGGGGATTCAGCCACACCGGAGCCCCATCTTGGCCTCCCCTGCTTCCTTCCTGAAGGAGCGCCCAAGCTGGCATCTGCTCCTGGCATCTGCGCCTGCCGTCCAGGTGTGTCCTCTAGGCCCTCTCACCTTGAGCTTAGACTGTTGCTCCAACTGTAGCGTCTGCTCCTGCATCTGTGCGAGACTCAGTGCCTCCTTGGCGTGGCCTGTGGGGTGTCAGACAGAGGAAATCAAGACACAATGTGGCTGTGGCCAGTGGGCAAGCACCCACTAATGTCAAGGGGCTTTCTGAGAAGCCACCGCATGCCTCAGCCTGAAGTGCTCCTGTCTACTTCCCAGTCCTGCCTTACCTGCCTGCCCTCAATCCTGGCCAGACCTTGCACACCCCTGCTTTCAAGGCTGCTTCCCTATCCCCAAGAAAGCCTGGCACAGGCCCTGGTCTCATCCCCAAGGATCTATCACCTTTGTAGAGTTACCTCAGAAAGGCCACCCCACACCCATTCAGAACAGGCCAAAACAGCAGGCATTTCCCAACTGGGCAGAATGCGGGCTTTGGCTAGAGTGGCCTTTAATTGTTCATATTACACGTTTTTCTTAAGCTTCCCCTATCTATGACCATGAATCTGCTACCAAACACACACAGGCAAGAAAAGGGACAAATGAAACCCCTGATGCCACAGTGACCTTGGCTTGCTCTTTGGCCCATCGAATTCCTTCTATCCCCACATCCTGCCTACTTTTCTTGTTTTGGTGCTGGGGACTAAACCCAGGGCGCTCTTCAACCAAGCCACATCCTCAGCCCTTTTTATTTTTTGAGACAAAGTCTTGCTCAGTTGCCAGGACTGGCCTTGAAATTGCCATCCTCCTGCCTCAGCCTCTGAGTTGCTCTGAAGTCTTCAGGGTAAGCTGCAACTAGTACATGTTATGCTGTGATTACGGGAATATAGGCATGCACCCACCCTCTCTGTTAACTTCATTGAGGCTATTTCCTCTCCTGACAGTGAAGCAATTATAGTTCTCCTTGGAGAATAAAAGGAAAACTTCAGCACAGCACTGGTATCCATGTAAACTCCCGAGTCACAAGCTAGGCCTGACAGTAGCTCACCACCTAAGACCGCTCTGTACCAGCAGCTTTGTCTCCCACAACACTCAAGCACCCACCCTGGTGGGATGTCTGAGACATGGTCTGGGGCATATAAAAGACTTTAGGCCCATAAACTAAGCTGGCATCTAAGAAAGAACCAAGAAGATCTGGGCAGACACTGGAAACAAGGTATCACTAGGTTGGGCTTTGAGGAACAAAGAAGGTAGTCAGACTGTGCAGAGGACCATTGAGGACAGTTCCTGTTGGCTTGGGAGAAGGCAGTGGGGTCAGTACAGAGGCTCAGGCCAAAACATAGTAGACCCTGTGGCAAAGCCCAGGGGGCTAATGAGCCGGGAGCCTTCAAAGAGGGTGCCTGGCAAAGGGGCTGACAAGCAGACAGGCATGAGGCACCCTGGGAAGAAGGGCTGGGGAGAAACATAGCCATCATGGGGCCAGGAAGGATGGTGAGAATACAAATGGAGAGTACAAGATGCTTGCAGAGGCTGAGGCAGAGCATCCCAAATTCAAGGTAAACCTGAGCAGCCTCTCAAGACCCTGCCTCAGAATGAAATAAAAGCTCTGGGGATGCAGCTCAGTGGTAGAGCACTTGTCTAAAGGGTACAAGGCCCTGAGTTCAATCAACAGTACTGCCAAAAAAAAAAAAAAAGAAAGGAAGAGGGAGAACAAAAAAAGTGGAGAATGCAAACAGATACTGAGGGAGCAGCAGCAGCCACAGCCAGAGTTGCATCTGTTGGGCCAGAACCAAGGGCCTGGACAAGTACTCTCTAGGCAATGGATCCAGGCAGGTCGGATGGTGTAGAGGGCAAGGAAGCACAGACAGCAAGAGACTTGCTCAGACATACCCACAGCTGTGTCCCACAGGCCTGGGTAACTGCCTGTCGTAGGGACAACTAAGATTCAACTTGGAAATTCTGGGTATGGTAAGTGGGCAAAAACCCCCAGGAGTTGGGGCAGAAAGGTGCCCCCAGCTGAGTTTGGTTAGGGATTAAGTCTGCTATGGTATGAGATGCCCTGAAGCTTGTTCCTCACTCCAGCCAGCTAATAAACTAACAGATAAACTAAAAGATCACCTGTGAAATCGTCCACCCAGCCAGGCCTTAAGTGACACACATTGTGAATCGAGTCTGAATGCTCTGAGCATTCCTCTGGGAATATAAGAGCCAGACAGACAGACCCAGAGACCAGTGCCCAAGGCATTCTTGTAGCCTCCTGGGAAAGGGCAGAGGATTGAGACACCAAGTGCCAAGCCCTCTCCCTTCTTATCAAGGTGGCTCTGCCTACACCTACTTCACACCAAGGCTTCCCTACAGGATCTTCCAGTGATAAAAGGACACCCTCTTAAACAAGTTTGAGACTACTGTATTCCTTTAGTCAGTATTTATTTGGCACTTTGGCGCACATGAAATTGCGCCATTTTGGTGTAAATCATCAAAACCACAGGAGAAAAGAAGGTGGTGGGAAAAGACCTGGGTTTCAGTCACAGCTCACAACTGGCTCAAGGAGGTCACCAGCTGGGCCAACACCCTCTGGCCCGTGGCTTTACAAACGCTCCCGCACCCACCAAAACGCCAACGTTTGCCAATAATAAATGCAAAATCTGTTACATTCTCGTTAAAACGCAATCACTAAAATATGCTTTCCTTGTTACGTGCAAAACTGCCACCAACCCCGCGCACAAGCATCTCCGGATCTGGCCACGCCCTGGCCTGCCCCACGTGGAGGCTGCAAGTTCGAAGGATCCCACGCGCCGGGCAGTGCCCAAAGCCCAGGGCCCAGGTGGGCACCCAGCACTTGCACGCTGAAGCCCCTGCTCCGGCCTGCTGGCGACAGCTGAAGGTGCAAAGAGGAACAGGGCCTGGACCCCGGCACGCAGGACGGCTCGGGGCCGCCGACAGCACCCAGTCTCGCCCGGTGAGGCGCTTACAGGGCCCGGCGGCCCGCGCCCGCGAGACCTCCCGCGTCCCGGCGCCCTTGGCACTCACGCGAGTGCTCCAGCTCGCGCGCCGCCTTGGCCGCGCGCTCCAGCCCTGTCGGGTCGAAGTTGCTCCATTTGTCCTTGGGCGCCTGCCGGTCTCCCGCACCGCGTTCGCCGCCGCCCTCGGCCCCGGGCGGTACGGGCGGCAAGGACAGCGGTGGTCCCGCGCCTTCGCCCTTGGGGCCCTTGTTGATGCCGAAGAGCCAGGACATGACCCGAGAGCGCTGCACGATACCAGGACCCCGGTCGACTGTGACTTCCACAACTCAGAGCAGCCGCCACGCGCCGCGGGCCGGCGGCAGGGCCAGTGCGCAAGCGCGACACACACCCCTTCCTCCCAACAGCGGAAGTGCGCGAGGCCCCGCGGCACACAGCCCTCGGCCTGGGAGGAAAGGCCGTGACGCCACCGGGAGGGCGTGGCCCAGGATAAGGATACCAAGCTTGGACAAACTTGTCGGAACTGGTGGGCGCGCACCGTAGCACTGTCAGTTCGCCGCAGCCGCGGAGTTTCGGCCGTTGTGGGCGCTGGAGAAGCCGCAGCCTGGGAGAGACCCCCCCCTGGACGGATATGGACTCCGGGAACTTTGGGGACGCGGCTACGAGGTCAGGGGAGCGTGCGCCTGGCCGCGACCTCAGGGGACGAGGGAAGGGACCCGTGCTGCGAACCCTCCGCTCGCCCCCTCGGTGACCTGCAGCCTTCTGGCCCGGAGCGGCCCTAGAGTCTGGGCCCCACCGGGGCGAGCGGGAGCCCTGCAGGCATGAGGCTGCGCTGAAGATCTCCACACGCGGCGCACGCAGGAAGCCCTTAATAAGTTGACACTAGTGGACCCCAGGAAAGGCTTCGTCTTTCAGATGAAGGGCAGGCCTGCAGAGCAGTCCTCCGCCGGCCCCCTGGATGTTTCCGAAACCGCAGTGGTCTCTGGTTGTATGACTATTAGAATATCCCATCCACATGTTTGATACTTAAAATCTTATACCATTTAGGAGGACAGACATACCCTTCCTAAAGACTCTAAACAGAATCGTCAGTGTGCTTTCTACCTGAAGCATTTCCATTTAACTGACAAATGTGAGGTGCTGCTTATGCTCTGCTGTTTTGTTTGTGGGATCCCTTCTGACCTCCCCAACAGCTTCTCTAACAGGAGTCCTCCAGCATTAACGACCTAGAGAGACCGCAGAGGTTCAAGATGCAGGTTGACAGGCTGGAGGCTAGGAGAGGAGAGCCTGTGTGACACAGAACTCAAGAACCTTATTGAGCATTTGATCCCAACAGAGGGTGTGCAGCCCTCCCCGGGAGCACAGGCTAGCAGGAGTTGGGGCAGGATTCTCAAAGTGAATCCCACCTAATCAGTGGGGAAGAGGTCTGCTCCAAGAATGTGTGCAGCTAAAGTGGTTTCTGAGTCCCCTACCCCTGGCCAGATCTCAGAGTTGCACTGCAACCTGTTGCCCCCAGCAACCCAGCCCTGGGGCTCCCAGCACCAAGGCTGCAGCTGCCAGCTGCCTGTTGACTTCCAAGGATAGTGCCAGTGCAAAGCCTCTCCCCTTAAACCTAAAGCCACTTTTGTGACCAGCACAGGTTTGCTGCTGACCATCAGTATCATTCTGCAGTTTTGTCCTGTTGGGCAGTGGTCTAGTTTCCAGAAGAGAGGAGCCAATCTCTCTCCTCAGCCAGCTGGTCCCTTCCTACTCCTCTTCTTCTTCCATTTCCAAAAGTACTCACTGGTTCCAGACTTGCTCATGGCACCACAGTCCACCTGCAGGCTTGCCTCCACCACTGCTGGCATGTGCACTCCCCTCCTGTTCCTAACCCCCCACACACAGGCCCAAGCTCAGCCAAAAGAAAAGCTGCCCATGGGACTGGGGATACAGCTCAGTTGGTAGAGTGCTTGCCTTGCATGCACAAGGCCCCAAGTCCGATCCCCAGCACCAAAAAACAAACAAACAAACAAGAAAAGCTGCCTAGCCTGGCCAAGGTTCTAGGGTGGGGCCTTGAACTACTGGTTCCCACCCTAATCCACCATAGTAGGGTTCCTGTGACCTGCCAGCCCCTGGTGGCTTCTCCCCAGGTATGGTGGTTCATGAGAGAAAATAAGAGTAGTGGTAGCAGGCCCAGGACTATGGTGATTTAGGGCTGAGCCAAAACCTCACAGGCCCCTCTGGGCTTCCCCACAGTTGTATAGCTCATCTTCCTGCTCAGGGTTTATGTGTAGGTTAGCCATTGCCTGCTTATGGTGACCCCATACACTGTCCTCTGCCCCAAAGCAGCCCCTGCCCCCAGCTGGAAACTCAAGAGTCTCCAGCACTGTCCCTATAGGGCCCTGAAGTGAAACCCATTAACTGGTGTACACACTTCCTGGCCATATGTATCATGGGTGGCCTTAGTGCTGGCCTTCAGCTGCCCTGCCCTGCCCAAACCTATGGCCTCCAAGGTGCCTTTGTGTCCCTGGACACTCTAGAAGGGGCAGTAAGGGGACTCTCTCAAGAGTTGCCTGTGAGGGGCCACCTGCCATGCCCACGACCTGTGGATCATGAGAGGCACCAGTTCAGGCCCACAGATGCTCAATAAGGTTCTTGGGTTCTGTGTCACATAGGCTCTCAGAAAACACACACACACACACACACACACACACACACACACACACACACACACGTAGGGTCCAGAAACCACTGGCTCAACCCTGGCTGCCTGGGATTCACTAAGGTAGACAAAAGTGGGTACAGTGGAGGCATGGCTTTGCCAGCAGTGGGTGCCCACAGTTGGGGGACTGGGCAGTAGGCAATGGGCCTGCAGAACTACTGGGCCCTCTGTCCTCTTGAGTTCCAGCAGTCTGCCCCTATCCAAACTGGATCCTGGGCCACAAAAGCAAGTGCCAGAGGGCTGTAGAAGTCCAGGTGATCTGTATCCAAGCACTGGAGTCTGGCCCCAGCTCCTCTCAGATGCACCATGATCCTGCACACTGGAGCGCTCACACTGCCCTGACCCGGGCTGGAGTGTTGTGGCAGGAGCAAAGCATTCTATGGAGACAGCAGGCTCAGCATACAAATGGTTTACTGTATTTGGAATCTGGGTCATTAGTGGGGAAGAGAAGCAAGGTGAGCCTGGGCAGGTGATTCTGAGAAGAGGCCCTGACCAGTGGGGGCTACAGAAGCAGCCAGGTCCTCCCTATCCTTGGTGAATTCTCCAGAGCTCCAGGATAGCAGAAGGTGACAGGAGGTAGCCCATGACCCTCTGGGGTCAGACAGTGTTGCAAAGTATCTGAGGTGAACTCACCAGAGCAACACTGTTCCTCCTCAAGGAGCTCCAGGGCCCCATACAGGCGAGGCCCCCTGTGAGTGCTGGCCTTGGAGCCTGGCCAAGGCCAGAGTGGATAGCCCTTGTCCCCACCGTCCTGAGCACCAGGTTCTGGGTCTATGCCTCCAGAAAAGTGCTTTCTTCATCCCAGGGGCTGCTGGCTGGGCCCACCTGGGGTCCTGGGCAGGGAGACAGAGCCAGTGTGCCCAGTAGGCACTGCCTTCCAAGCTCAAGGGTCTTGGCAAAGACCATTGGGCCACACCATCAGCCTCCCAGTGCCCTCCAGTCCTTTCCTTCAAGAGGCCTTTGGAGACAGGCCTATGCCAGCTGCTCCTCCCCTTGCCCCACCTATTTTCTATCCATAGGCAAGACCTCAGTGGCCTCGGGCACTTCCTCCAACTGTGCAAGCTTGGCCTTTCACACCAGCTGGAGCCCAGGCCCCTGCCTCCCCTGGGTCTGATGTTCTCAACTCGCCCTCAGACGCCCTCCCCACCTCTTTACCAAATGTTGGCAAAGGACCACACAAAGGGGGTTCTGGCCGAGAGTCAGAGGAGGCTGCGGAGAGAACTAGGGGGTAAAAGGCAAGGCTGGACACTTCCTCCCACCGGCTCCGGCTTGGCTCCGTACGAGGGGCTATCGGTCGACTTCTCGGAACCCCTCCGGGCCGGCGGCTCACCCGCCACGGCCCACTGAGACCCGGGGTGCTGGGCGCGGGGCTCGGCTGCGCTCACCCACCGGCGTGCAGGCCTTTGCGGACAGCGCCCTCTCGTGGCCCGAGCGAAAGGCAGCTGTCACCGTCACCAGGTAGGCGGTGCCGGGCGCCAGGCCCTGCAGCGTGGTGCTGTTTCGGCCAGCGGGCACGTCCACGCGTTGCACAGCGCCGCCACTCAGTGGCCCAAGCTGCACCTGGTAGCTGAGCGCGGCAACTGGGCCCAGTGCTGGGGCCCAGCTCACGCGGAGGCTGTGCGGCCTGGCATGCGAGATGACGATGCGCTCTGGACCGGCCTCGTCTGCGGGGGGTGAGGGGTGGGGGTCAAGCGGAGGGGCGTTCCAATACCCCACGAACCCCTCCCCCCGGCGTATTCCCACCCGCGCCTCACCTGGCAGCGTGCGCACTCGCAAGTGCTGAGGCTTCAGGAGGTGCACGTTGGACTCGGGCAGCAACACCACATCATATTCTGAGTCAGGGTCGAGGCCGGCCCAAGTCCAGTCGGTGGCGTTCCCAGGCAGCTGCTGGCGTCTTGTGGCCCCCGGGCCGGCACTGGGCACCAGTTCCAGCACGTAGTAGCCGGAGTCGGAGGTCAGTAGGGGCGGCCAGGCCAGGCGGAAGCTGTTGGACGTCACCTCGGAGGCGTAGAGCTGCTGTGGCTGCATTGCATCTGTGGAAGGTATGAGAGGTCAGGGGAGAAGACACCTCGAAGGCGCCAGCTGGTGGAGCTCTGAAGGATCCAGAGAATAACCTGTAGGTCCCTGGAGTGGTGTGCAGGTGAATGAGGCTGGGGAGCACATTCAGATTCTGACCTTCCTCTCCTGATGCCTGGGTGTGGGGTCTGCCAATCTTCCCGCTCAGACTCTGCCCCCAGCCCCAGGAGCCACCACCCCACTCCCTGATTCTGAAGGCAGCCTTTTCTCCTTTCCTCTCCAGGCTCAGCTGCCAAGGGCCACTAGGGGTCAGATGTCCCTGGGGAAGACTTTGGGGGAGGACCCTCTACCCCTTCCGGGTCCACAGACCCACACCTTCCTGCTCAGGGTAGGTGAGTAACCCAAAGGCAGAGATTTGGTAAAAATCCTGGGGTGGTGGCACTTTTCTGTGGCTACAGCAAGCCTAACCAGCCATCAGGCTTCTCATCTCCAGCCCTTCCCCCTTTGAGGCTGGGCTGAGGGGGTGATCCAGAAAAAGGGCCCTGGATGCTGCCCCGCCCTGCGGCAGACTTCCTGGTCTGGCTTCATCCCCAGCTGTTCCCACCACACACTTGCTGTACAAACCAACACAGATCCTTCCGTGGCTGTCCTCACCTAGAACAGGTAGGGCTTGAGCTCTGGGAGGCAGACCCGGCCTTCCAGGTTCCTCCCTCTTGGATGGGGTAGGCCTGGACATGCACCATGCACATGCTGCCACTGGCTTCCTCAGCCCAAGGACCTCCTTCCCGATTCTTTCCACTTATCCCCCACATCCTACAGAGGTGACCACTAAGATTTGCTCCCGTCTCTCCACAGCCCAGGGGTCTGAGCATATGAGGGCACCGAGTTGGTTTGTGTTCCTGAAGGTGCATGGAGAAACTCAGAGTTATCTGCCCACCTGGGGGCATCAAGCACTTGAGTTCAGAAGGTTCTTCTCCCACCTACCAAGAATGGAGCCCCGCAGCTCTCGGGCAATGATGTGTAGATCATCCACATCAACGAAGTGCAGATGCTTCTGAGCAGGGGCTGAGGCAGCTGCAGACAGCTCTAGCAGGTTGCCACGGCCCGTGCTGACAATGAAGACTGTGACGCCCTGGTCCTTGAGCTCCTGCATTGGGGGGCCCACAGGGTCGCTGGAGGCACCATCTGTCACCCACACCAGTACCTTGGGCACCCCTGGCCGGGCACCCATTGCCTCAGCAAACAGTTGCTCCCGGGCATAGGCCAGTGCCAGGCCAGTGTTGGTGTCACCCATTCGCTGGGCTGCAGCACGGATGGCGTCCTGGACAGCCTGGCTTGAGTTGTGTTGGTTGAAGGGGAACTCGGTGTGTGGCCTGCTACCCACATGCACCAGGCTGGCACGCAGGGCCCCAGGGCCCAGGGGCAGCAGTGCCACCAGCTGCCCCACAAACTCCCGAACCCGGGAGAACTCGTAGTGTGATACGCTGGCGGAGCTGTCCAACAGGAGCAACAGGTCCCCCTGGGGGGCCGATGCCAAGGGACCTGGGGAAAGACAAGGGTCAACCCCAAATGGTGGCCCCAGGTCATCCTACACCCAGAGCAGAGACCCCTGAGGCCCGGGTTTTCCTTGAGCCTGTGCTCACCCTTGCCCTGAGGTCCAAAGGGTAGTACCTCAGGGGAGAGGGTCTCTGGACCAAGCAGGAGGCTCACACTCTCAGTGCATTCCAGCTCTCTACACAGGCCATGTGACCTAGTGCACCCTGGGCTGGCGCAGGTCCCCTGTGCAGAGGAGTGCTAACCCTCCAAGACCCTACATTCCCTTCTCAGCAGACATCCAATGTAGGTGGAGCCAAAAGCCGGGGCATAGGCCTCCCTGAAGGTCTGAGTCTGGGGTCCACTCCCTCAGGCTTGGTTTTCAGAGAGGCCACATGGAGGCTGGAATTCAGCCACACAGCTCAAGCTCCAGGTAAGGCATTCTTCGGGCATGCACAAGGCAGCAGGGGAGGGTTGGGAGCACAGCAGGGATGGGGAAGCAGAGCTCTGAACACAGCCCCCCCCAGCCCAGATGGCCAGGCTGGAATCGTGACCCCACTTACAGATGACATCACCCCTATCCTGGCCCCCATCCTTAGCTCCATCTGGACCCAGAAAACAGGATACACCCCCCAGCAGCCTGAGGGCCCGCCCAGCTCCTGGCGGGCCTCCCCTTCCTCCCGGCACCCTGCGGGGTGGGTGTGCACGTGGGCCCCTCCACCACTAAGCCACGGGTGGGGGCAGTGGGGCGGGAGGGGGGAGAAGAGTTCAAGGAGTCCTAGGCCTGGGGTTTCCCCAATGCGGTAGGGCGATTCCAACCTCCCACCACCTCTACCGAGGGCCCTTCGGAAGGTAGGGAAACTGAGGCGGGACGGCCTCTCCCACAGACTTCTCCCCTCCAGGTCCAGCCCGTGGACCTGCCGGCGGGGCATGGCAGACGCCGGCCTCGCCGCTCAGTCGTGCCGCCTGGAGCACCTGGGCGCGCCCCCCACAGGTGGCTGGGGTGCTGGGCTGGCTCCCAGCTCAGCTCCCGAAACCGCCAGCCCACCCGCCTCGCAGCCAAGCGTGGGCAGCGGGAACGAGGGGCCGTCAGGAGTCAGAGCCCTGGCCCCGCCGCACTCACCGCGCTCCGCGCCGCTCCGCGCCAGCGCCAGCCGCAGGCTCAGGGCCAGGCTGAGCGCCGTCCAGGGGAGCATCGCGCGCGGTGGGATGGGGCGCTCGGCCGCAGCTTGTTGCTGGCTTGCTCCGGGACAGCCGGGCGCGGGCCTGAGAGGGCCCGCCCCCGGGAGGCCACACCCACGGCCACGCCCACGCCGCGGGCGCACGCACTCACCCAGGCGCGCACCCCAGAAACGACCTGCGCGGACTTGGCAGTGGAGCCCTCACGAGCCACCTGGACAAGAGGCGACACGCAGCACTAACCCAGGCACCACCGAGGCACGCACTTGTGGGCATGCACACACAGGCTCTCCCCTCTCCCGGCTGTGAGGCTGTGGGGTCGCCCGCACTCCAAACCCTTTGCCTGTGATTCCCAAGTGTTAGGGGCCCCTGAAGCCAAACCCCAGGTCCTGGCTGCACCTTGGCTACAAGGCTGAGGGATAGGTGTCCCTAAGGACTAGTCAACAGGAACTGGAAGGGCCTTAGAGTGGGGACAGGAGCCTGAAGACAAGACACAGGAACAGGAGACAGTTGGTTCAGGCCTTGTCCTGCGCCATGCCCATAATGGCCCTACTGCTGGCCTCCTACACTCTACCCAAGGAAGGGCCCGAAGCCACAGATATAAGACCCTAGCAGGACTCGAGGGGCCCACTAGACAGAGCTGAGCCCTGTAATTTTTTTTTAATATTTTGTAGATAAAATGCCTTCATTTTATTTATCTATTTGTTTGTTTGTTTATTTATTTATATGTGGTACTGAGGATTGAACCCAGTGCCTCACACATGCTAGGCAAGCGCGCTACCACTGAGCCCCAGCCCCAGCCCCTGGGTTCTGTAATCTTGACTAGGCCCAGAAAGGGGATGCAGTGTTCCCTGGGAAGACTGGGCCTCCTCCCCTGTGCAGGAGCCCCGCTGCAGCCCTCCTGAGATCCCTTCCTGTGGGGTAACCATGGAGTTGAGTTTGGGGACACACATGTGGCAGGGGTATGTCTGCCAGGATGTCCCTCCCTTCTCACCCTCTGCAGGAGGATGCTGGTGGGGAAGACGGATGGGACTTAAAATGGTTTTCCTTCCTCCCTTTCTGGCAGGTGAGACTCAGCGGCGGCGGGACTGGGAGGATGGCCTGAGCTGGGCTTTGCCTAAAAAAGGAAGCGCACAGCTGAGCCCCAGGAGCTGGCGGCAGGAACAAGTGAGAACTGTGTCCCTGCCGCCATCCCCCACCCCCTTGCCGGGAATCTTGGCAGTGGGTGTTGGCTCTGCTCCACAGACCTCAGGCCTCAGCACGGACCAGAAGCTGCTTGGTGCTTCCGCCTGGGCCCCGTGGGGGGAGCAGTGGATTTGGGCTCACCCAGTCGAGTAAGCCGCCCAGGGGGTCTCACATGGCCCCCAGCCCCTAGCACACAGGGCTGCCCTGGAGATGGGCACTGAGCAGAGACCAAACAAGGTGGCAGCACCGCCGACTGCTGTGAGGCACGCCCAGGTAGACAGTTCATCCTCAAGCTTGCCTGCCAGGGAGCTGGGCCACAGTGGATCCGCCCTGTGGGGAGGCAGCTGCTAACAGCAGCCCAGGCCCACAGTCACACCTCAGCCTGCCTGGCTGAGCTGACGGGAAGTTTCCGTCCCTTCTGGAAAATTGAGCGGGTCTTCTTGCTGTGACTCAGGCCTCAAGGAAGCAGCGCTCTCCTCCAGCCTGACATCAGAAGGAGAGGGACACTGGAGGCCCAGCCTCCACTGAGTCCTGTCTGCCCAGCCTCTACCCAGTCACTGCTGCTGCCCCACCCCCTGGGGACCCTCCCCATCAGCCCTACTCCCCTACTCAATCCAAGCACAAGCCTTATTCCTGTGCCCTGCCCTGCCCCCCAGTGCGCTCCCTACCTCCAGAGGAAAGCTGTGGACAGATGGGATCCCAGAGGGTGAGGGAGTTAGCCTGAGTTGTGGTGGTCAGAGCCAGGCCTGGGCTTTAGACCGACACCAGAGGAAGCACAAATAGAATGATCCAGAAGCCTCTTCTCTGAAGGGAGCAGGGCCCAGTTGGTAAAGAGGGCAGAGACATAGACAAAGGCAAGGACTGGCCAGGCCAAACAGCAGGGCCCATCCTCCAGCCCTCCGCCTGAGCAGGTGCAGTCTCTGCCTGGGCCTGGCATCCCGGGGACCCAGAGGAGGATGCAGCAGGTGAGGCTGAGAGCACCTTGCCCCACAACTTGGCCCAGGCACAGGGAGTTGCTGTGTCTCACTTCCCAGAGCTGGCCCAGCTGCTTATCTGCACGCAGATGGGGGGTTTCCCTGAACTGAGGGATACTGCTCCCAGTAGGGCATTGCCCCTGCCCCCACTGAGGTCCCGGAGAAAGCTCCCTCCTCCACACAATCCAGGCTTCTGCAGAGAAGAAGGGCCTTTTGTCCCCAGCTCACTGTAGTCATGTTCAACCCCAGAGAAAAGGGCATCTCCTGGGGCCTCTGACCCCACCCCTGACCCCAGCTGAGGGCAGAGTGGCCTGGGCCCCCACCCCATTGCTGAGCTGCTGTTTGTCAGTTGTTTGTATCTACATGCAAACCCACGCTCACATCCACGGAGGGGGGGGACACAAAAACAGGAAGTGGCAGGAGCAGCTGCATGGGCCCTGGCCAGGGGAGTGGGGTGAGGCTGGGTCCGGTGACCCTGCCTCATCCAGGCAAGCAGCGGGGTAGGGGAAGGGGCAGCCAAGAGCAGCAGGGCCCTACAGCTCCTTCCCACTGCCCCCCCTTCCTCTAGACTTGATGTGTCCTCCTAGGGTTAGGATCATGCCAGGCAGGGCCCAAGACCAGTCCTGGGAGCTGGAGGTGCCTGTCTCACCCCCAGAGCCCCGAGCTGACACCTCTCCCAGTCCCTGCCGTGAAGGTAGCAGGGAAGAGGCATGGGAGGGTGAGTGCCAGGCAGTGTCCATCAAACCAGCTTCTGCCCGGGGACCCCAGCTACCAGGCAGAGCCCTCCTCCCAGTACCACCAGACTCGGTGTGAACAGGCGATGCTGGGCCAGCAGGGACAGGACAGCTTGTTTTCCCTGTAGAGGATGGGGCCCTGTGGCAGCAGAGGGTCAGCAGGGACCTGAGGCAGAGCTGCACAAAGGTCTTCCTTCAAGGCAGAGGGGGACAGTTAGTGCCAGGGCCTGGGTGGGGGTGGGCATGCCTGCCAGTCCGGGGACCTGGGCTGGCGGACAGCAAGGGCAGGGCCAGTGTAGGGCCTTCAGGCAGCAGGGAGGTGATGGGACTCCAAGTGCGTGGAGAAGACAGTGCCAAGGAAGGGCAGAGGGCTGATCCCAGGCCCCGAGGGAGATACTGGGTAAGCCGCCATCAGAAGTCGGGCAGGGACTCGGTGAGAGTCTGGATTCGGGTGTCCAGAATGTGCCACCAAACAATAACGTGCCTTTCTGAGGTGGGCCACCCCAGCTTTGGTCCTCTTGGCTGGCCTGCTCTTCTGTAGGTGATTGCCAGGTCCTGCTCCATCCTCAGGTAGGGCCCAGGCAGGTTCACGGAGCACCCAGGGGCTCAGATGGAGGAGGACGCAGGAAGGGGCAGGCCTGGATCAACACCTTGAGGGCAGCCTCCCTAGTGTCAGGGCCCAGGAGCAGGGGCCTCACTCTGCCTCCTCCTTCCTAGCCCACCCTCTCCGGCTCAGGCACTGCCAGCATGGTGCCCAGCCCACGTGCCTCGGTGGGGCATGCCTCTCAGGAGCTCAGGGGCTGGAGGAACAGTTGGCTAAGCATGGGCCCTCCTTGCCCCTGAAGCAGGGTGTGCCTGCAAATATTTTGTGAATAAAATAAACAAACTTATGGGGTTGGGGTTGTCGCTCCGTGGTAGAGCGCTTGCCTAGCATGTGTGAGGCACTAGGTTCGATTCTCAGCACCACTTATAAATAAGGGTCCATCAATAATGGAAGAAAAAAAATACAAGCTTAGGCAAGGTGGGGACCTTGCAGAGCCCTCCTCTTACCTGGGAGGTGGGGACAACATCCCTCATCCAAGAAGAAAGAGGACAGTAGGTAGGACAGGACACACCCACACATGCACACTCCAGCTTTCTCTCAGGAAGCAGGGCCTTTAGCCATAGGGGAAAGAGTTGTGTCCCCACAAACGTAGGTCTCCTCTGGCCCACCCACTAGAGCTAGTGAAGGGGTGAAGCTCGGACCTGGGAAAAGTGAGGCTGCTCCAGACCTCCAGGTAGGGGAAAGGACTCCAGAGCAGCCAGCAGAGGAGATGGAGGCAGGGCCAGGGCCGGGGACTAGGACCCCGAAGGAGGAGGTTTCTGTCACAAGCTCATGCTGGGAAGAAGTTGGGGGACAAAATCTGTGGGACTCAGGGAAGAGCTAGGAAGAGGCCAGTGGATACCTCAGGCCTGAGAGGGGAGTCTGTGGCTAGAGAGCCAGGTCCCTGCCCCTCAGGAGAATGACAAGGAAGACTCCTAGGGCCCTGCAGAGGGCCCGAGAGGGCAGAGCTGCCTTGAGCTCCAGGCAGGCAGCTGTAGCCCCTCAGGCTCTGCTGGCCTGGCAGCTGGCTCAGCTTTGCTCTCCAGGGCTAAGGCCTGGGTGGAATCCTGGGCCTGCCTCCTGCATGCCAGGCAAGCATCCTACCACTGAGCTACATCCCAGGACCAGCTGGAGGCTGTCAGGGGTTTCAGAGGGAGCCTGGGAAGCTGGGAAACACCTTCTGGAGAACTCCCTGCCCGGGTCAATGGTCAGTGACTAGCGACCAGCTTAGCAGGAGGGGGCCGCTGAACTAGCCACTTACCTCCCCGCCCCCACCAGGCCCAGCTGTTGTTTTGATAATGTCCGGCCAGGCGGATCCTCAGCCCAGGGTATCCCAAGAGACTCCTTATTGTCAGCCCCTGGTGGCAGCAGCCAGAGCCTGCCCAGCCTGGGCAGGAGGGGAAGGAAGGCGCCCTGAGCCTCAGGAAAGCTCTTGTACGCAGGCTGGCAACTGGCCAGCTCTGTCTGCTCAGGAAAGACATCAAAGCCAGACACAGATGAAGGTTGGAAAACCCCAAGACACCCACTGGACCCAGCCCAGCCGTACACTGGTCTCTGCTCAAGGCCACTGTGGATCCAACACTGGTCACAGGCTGAGCCCTGCTGGCAGTATGGCGTGCTGGATCCTTTAAAAGGATTTTCAGCTACCATAAGACTCTGTTAAATCACAGTGAGCAGTCATTTTTAATACACTGTTGGACTTACAAGGAAAGAAATATCTCAAATACCCCCCCCCACAATTAGACATTATAAATCAGCAGACAGGTGCAGTGGCACACACTTGTTTCCCAGCCATTTGGGAGGCCCAGTTGGGAGGACCACAAGTTCAAGTCAGTCTGGGCAACTAGCAAGACTCTTGGAGAGAGAGAGAGAGAGAGAGAGAGAGGGGGGGAGAAAGAGGAAGGGAGGGAGGGAGGAGAAAAAAGCTGGAGGGGCTGGGGTTGTGGGTCAGTGGAAGAGCATTTGCCTAGCACGTGTAAGGCACTGGGTTCAATTCTCAGCACCACATAAATAAATGAAAAGCCCATCAACAACTAATAAAAATATTTTTTTTTAAAAAAAGGGCTGGAGATACAGCTTAGTGGTAGAGCGCCCCTGGATTCAATCTCCAGTACCACAAAAACACTAAATAAACCAACAAACAACTAGAATAATGAAAAGAAGCCCATGATGCAGGGAAACTGATGGGAAAGCAGACAATTCCCTGGATACAGGGATAGAGAGTCAGGCACTCTCAGGGGAAAAAAACCGTGGGTACTGTGCATGGGAGATCACTAAGCCAGGACCCTCAGCAGAGCCTAGGATGGTCATTTCCCATCTCTGAAGGAAACTGTCCCTAAGTTAGGACTTCAGGTCGTTACAGATATGGGCTGACATCATAAATTACCAGGGGCTGGGAGTATATATAGCTCAGGGGTAGAGCATGTGCCTACCATGTACAGGACCTGCACCCCTCCAAAAAAAAAAAAAAAATCCACCAAACTTTCAAAAAAAAAAATACTAGGCTATTACTGAGCTCAGCAGAAACAATAAATAATAGATTTGGACACTCTTCCCCCCAAACACTAAGCACTAGGAAATTGGCATTACTAAGTATAGTATATATGTATGAATGTTTAAGGAATCTAAGCTGGAATCCAGAATCCACAAACAAAGAAACCATCAAAATTATTTAGGCTGGGGTTATTGCTCAGTGATAGAGTGCTTGCCTAGCAGGCAAAACTCCCTGAGTTCAATCCCCAGCACCACCAAAAACAAAATAAAAACTGATTTTTAACTGAGGTGGTGGTGCATGGCTGTAATCCCAGCAAGTCAGGAAGCTGAGACAGGAGGATCTCAAGTTCAAAGGCAGCCTCAGCAATTAGGAAGAACTTAAGCAACTCAGTGAGACCCTGTCTCAGAATAAAAAAAATTTAAAAAGTTCTGGGGATGTAGCTCAGTGGTGAAGCATCCTTGAGTTCAATCCCCAGTAACAACAATAACAAACCAAAAAAGATAAAATTGAAAAAGGACAAAATATAACTTTAAATCTGATAATAACCTAAAAGTAAATAGGTTAGGGGCTGGGGATGTGGCTCTAGTGCTAATGCGCTCTCCTGGCATGCGTGTGGCGCTGGGTTCCAAGCTCAGCACCTCTCTCTCTCTCTCTCTCTCTCTCTCTCTCTCTCTCTCTCTCTCT